ATTTCTCTACCAAAATGCAGCTGTTTGAAATTGCTGGTTAGGCGCGGAGGAATATAATTCCGGCGGGATAAATCCGTCGCAGGCTCTCAACACCAGCAAGTTAACATGGTCTGCAGCACTATCTAATATCGCCCTTTCTGCTATTTTATTCCAGGGTAGATTTACCCCGTCAAAGTTAAGTAACCTGCTAATCCAAAACTAGGCATCTGGGCCGTTTGGCTTGAAGACCACTTTATTGACCTCTGCCCGCTCGAACCGGCGCAACGCATCCACACAAGATTCATCCAAGCTCGGCAGCACGAGATCAATGAACCCCATCTTCTCGATTATGTGTTTATTGCGGATCAGGGCCTGCAAAGCCTCGTTGAACACGTACCTGGCCGGACAGCGGCCGAACTGGATGTGAACGTTCTTGTTGTAACAATCTGCCGCCGTGAATGGGAGCTCGGCATTGTGAACTCCTATCGGCAGTGTCAAGAAACGGTTCAAGCAGTTAAAAGGATGTGAGACAGTGAGATTGATAAGCACATACCTACAGAGCTGATCTTGCCGCCGGGACAGATGACATCGTAGGCCGTCTTGAGGGCGGGACTGAGACCGACCACTTCGATAACTGCATGAGCGCCGTTGCCGTCTGTTAGTGCCATCACCTCTTTGACCACATCTACCGTCTTAAAGTTGAGCGGGATGCACCCCAGGTCTTTTGCACGTTGCAGGCGATTCGGGACCGAGTCGATAGCGATTATCCGGGCGGGTTTGTACTCGAGGGCGCTGATGATGGCGCACAGCGCAACAGGACCACAGCCGATGACCACCACAGTCATATCCTTCCACTGGTCGCTTGGAGTTTCTCGAAATGCGTTTCTCGCCCCGTTGAATCTGTCACCTATTCAGCCAGACATACAAACTGTTTCCCCTCTGCAAAGATAAGGAAGAGAAATGTCAAGAGGATGGATCGTCTGCATACCCCGTGGGAAATATGTCCGTCATCAAGATCAACAGTTCCCCGAGGTCTCCTTCCTGCGGAGTATGAAACAAGGTAGAATCCGCCAACGGAACCCTGAAATACTGTGCTTGTGATCCATCCAGGGCGACGGACCCGAAAGACTTGCATTTCACACAGCGGCCCGTAATGCCTCTCTTGCAATGGAAACACTCGCCACTGGAAGAATCAGATTCAAGAGTTTTGGGGGGGTATTCAGACAACCAGTGTCTCCAAGAAATAACAACAGGAGGAAGATACGCACCAGCTGATGGTAAAGGGCGCAATCACCCGGTCACCCTTTTTAAAGTTCTTCACCTCGCTGCCCGCCTCATGGACGATGCCCATGCCTTCATGTCCACAGATATACCCTGGCTGCATATTGATCTTTGAGTGTCCTCGGTATCGGTGCAACTCGCTTCCACCAACAACCCAACCAGTCAGCCACTACGCGCACGGTAACATAATTCACAGGTAGGAGAAGATGGAGAGAATGTTACCTTCCACACAAAGCCGCCGAGGTAGTCTTGATCACCACGTCCGTAGGATCTGCCGGGCGAGGAACTATCCCGCAAAATCAGTCACATTATTTCACCGCGCGTCGACGGGTCGGATGATAAACAGACTGGGTCGGTCTTCCAATCTCACATCATATGGGCCGTGGAAGACCAAGGCCTTCATGGTTTCCGCGGAACCCATTTGTGACGACTTTGGTAGAGGAGTTGTTGTGGTTGTGGTTGGGGAAGAGGTCGATGACGGGCACGACGAGGCTGCAACCCCCTTTTTGGTGGGGTGAATGTAATTGCCGAGCACTCGGTAAAGTATACTTCTAGCCAGTCGCACCGAAAAATAACAGGAGAATCTTGTCTAGACGCTGCTCTTCTGATAAGGACCTCAATTAATCACATGAATGAACTCCCTCTCCCTCTCTTATTAGTTTAGTTTACTGATGACTACCGGCGGTTGTTTCTCCTCTCTCAATAATCAAACCACATCCATACTTACTCCATCCCTCGTTACTCCATATCCCCATATCCCCCCATAACTTGTTGGGGGAGCACGAGCCACGGAGCCTCCCACCTCCTCGGCAAATCCGTCTGCGGGGAAACAAGACCATAAAGAGACCGGGGAAAACGCCGGTATTTGCACGATCGATGGCGATGATGTTGTCACGCTTCGTATTGTATCATATCTACCTAGATATCTTGGAGGTGCCCCGACAGAGTTAGTAACTACTATGCGTCGTGGTGGTGGTTCATGAAGTATATATGTAGGTACATGGACTTGGTTATGTGGCTCGACGACGTCTAGTCGAGTGTCGTGCTGTATCGTCTCGGATTGCGCCGCCAACGCATTCAGGGTTAAGGATTTCAAGGACACCACAGAGGGGGACAATTGCAGTGGCGTGCCTGGTCGTAGTGGTCTTGGGGCTGTTGGACGTATCGACCAGACCAGACCAGATCAGAGTATCAGTGTACAACAAACGGGGCGAGAAGGAGGAACAAGCGTCTTTTAGCTTTTTGGTCGTTGCCGTGGATCCAAAGACGTCGTCGGTACGGTCGCGAATCTAGACTGGCAGACTGGAGAGAGCGACAAGCTTTTCTGTTTGAGGGGCAACGGTGGCTTCAAATAAAGCGTCGATCCCGGAGCCTGGTGACCGGCAATCCAACGTTCAGCTACAAGCAACCAGTTCCCGGTTCAGCCCTCCGGAGGGCTATTATCGTGTTGATGAACTATTCAATCTCCTGTGGCGATTTTAGAGACCCCTATACACTAGATATTCACGGCGACATGTAGATCTATAGTAGATATCTATACATGACAAGTCGTATATCCACCATGTCTAGCGGCGTATCTCGATATATCACATAACAAGTTCGAGGGGCATCTCCCTACCCTGGGCATATGTACGTGCAACACCTCTAAACCTCAACCAACCTCATCCAGCAAACTCCCCCGTCATCACTTCCCCCCTTCTGGAAACTTATCCTGCCACTTCTCATCACCACCGAGGTACCGAAAAACGACTTTCGTGTCCAACCCGGCACAGCGGGGGTCCTTGCTCGCGTCGTCAAACGCGTCCAGGACGGCCTGCCCGATGCACAACTTGGCGCCGACGCGGTCGCACGCGTCGAGGGCCAACGCCATGTCCTTGCAGGTATACTCGATGCGAAACCCGAGGGCGTAGTCGTGCGAGGCGGGAGAATTGGGCGTCAGGCCCGGCACGGGGTTCGCGTTCTGGGCGTTGATGTTGCCGCCGGTGGCGGTCTTGAGGATCTCCTGCAGCGTGCGCGGGTCCATGCCGGATTTGATGGCCAGGTTGAACGTCTCGGCGTTGAGCAGCGTGATGGACGAGCTGAGGTAGTTGTTGCACAGCTTGGCCGTCAGGCCCAGCGAGGCGCCGCCGCACGCGTAGATGTTCTTGCCCATCAGGGCCATGAGCGTCCTGAGCAGCGGGAAGTGCGGGTCCGACGCCGTGCACCCGACCATGAACGTGATGACGCCTCGCTTCGCGCCCGCCGTGCCGCCCGACACGGGCGCGTCGAAGAAGTGTGCCTTCGGGTGTCGTGTCCGGGTCTGCTCGCCGACCTCGAGCGACGTGACCGTGTCGATGGTGCTGCTGTCGATGAGGATCTTGTCCGAGAGGTCTTTGGCGGCCAGCACGCCGTTTTCTGGATCCAGAAAGACAGCCCGGACGTGTTTCCCCTCGGGGACTATCGACAACAGTAGATCCTATTATTCCCCCCTCCCTCAAGGCCATTCGGTCAGTTGGCTGGCTGGCTGGCTGGGCTGGTTTCGTGGCTAACTGACTTGGCCGAAGCCTCTCTAAAGGGGAGAACAACGAAAATACATACACTCTTCTCCGCAACCTCTCTCGAACTGCCGCATGCATCCAACTTGGCCACCGCGCCCGACTCGTTCAAGCCCATCTCTATCGATCGCGGGTTGACATCGTAGAAATGCACCGTCGATGTCGCCGGCAATTTACTGACCAAGTTGGAAAACATGGGGAAGCCCATATTCCCTAGGCCGATGAAGCCAATGTTGGCGGGCAACTGCGGGTCTGACGACGACGAGGCCATGATATACAATGTTTGGATTGGATTGATCTGGTGGTCGCTTAGTATGATGATGATGGTGATGGTGTTTTAGTTCGCTTGTCTGTTGTATATGCGAGATCTGGCAAAAGGCGATAACCTGTAGTACGAACCATCAACTCACTAAATACAAGTTCTATGTAGTTATACCGATGGAGTGCCCGCTCAGTGATGTTTGAAAAGCCCATCATCATTGGCCCGTAGAGAACGTTTCGCTGTGGTGACTGTTAAAGTTACGCATCCTCGGGTTACGACAAGCTCGGGATCGCCCACCTCCCTCTCCGAGGCGTTAGCTGGCTGTATACAAAGTACAAGTAGTAAAAAGGTACATTTTATTCTGGGGGAGGCGGGCCCGCCGGGCGAACCCGGGAATATTATCCATGGGCAGCTCCTATGATCGGAGTACCTGGTTCGAACCAATCAATAGAAGGTAGAGTCATGTACAGAGTTACGAGGTATACAAGTAGGTATGAACCACCGCATCTTCATGACTTCCCGTAACAATATCGAAGAAATGGCCAACCATGTCATGACTTCGCAACAATCGCAGATGCCTAATTTCCGACTCAAAGGTCTCCGACAAGAAACTGGTCAGACTTGTGCAAGTGAAAGGCCTCCGAATGTCAAAAAAAAAAAGGAGAAAGCCTCCGAGTCCATCAACTGCGCTCGTTGTGCGTAGCAGTAGCAGGAGTAGCAGTAACAATGACAGCACCATACTTAAGATCTCTGCCGGAAACCCCTTTGTGTTTGTCTTTATGTTTCTGGCCACCTTATTTTCCTCAAGATTGGTGTTGGGAACGCCAAACCACTTCCTCGAAAACAGGTGTGTCAAACCCAAATAAGCCATCTCGCGACCGGTCAAGGCGCCTCCTTCTGTCAAAAACAGTAGAAAGGTTAGAATATAGAAGGGAAGGAAAAGAATGAGTGCGCTGGAAGAGGACGGTTCGCACAAGGAGTCGAGTCAGAGTGTGGAAATGGACCTCCCGCCCGACAAGGCTGCACTCCATGCCATTCCCAAGACAGACGACGACGACGCAGCCGGCGAGGAGGCAGAGACGAAGCCCCCAAACGATCCTCAGACCGCGACCAAGCTCTCCAAAACTGGACAAAAGAAAGGATTGCGCTTCTGGATGATTATCGTGGCACTCAGCTTCACGAGTCTGTTGATCGCCATGGAGGGAACCATCACATCCACAGCCCTGCCCTCTATCATCGCGGATCTAGGTGGTGGTGACTTGTACATCTGGGCCGCCAACGGTTACTTCCTAACCATGTAAGTTCAAACGTGGCATCAACGTGGCATGGCCAATGCTAATGTGCCCACAGGACCGCATTGCAGCCCCTTTACGGCCAGCTGGCCAATGCCTTTGGTCGTCGGTGGCCAACAATCGGTGCAACAGCGGCGTTTGTCCTGGGCAGTGGTATATGTGGAGGGGCCAACCACATGGCGACGCTCATCGCCGGCCGTGTGATCCAGGGAGTCGGCGCCGGTGGCATCAGCGTCCTCGTCGAGATGATCATTTGCGACTTAGTTCCTTTGCGACAACGAGGCAACTACATTGCCATCATCGTCGGCCTGATTTCGCTCGGCACGGCGCTCGGGCCCTTCTTCGGCGGTCTCATCGTCGACCACGCCACCTGGCGATGGGTCTTTTACCTCAATCTCCCCGTTGGCGGTGTCGCGTTGGCACTGCTTCTGGCCTTTTTGAAGGTGACCTGGAACAAGAACACCAGGCTCGCCACCAAGCTGACGTCGATTGACTGGCCTGGCAACGCCATCTTCATCGCGTCCATCTGCGCCATCCTCCTCGCGCTGTCCTGGGCCGGTGCGTTATATCCCTGGTCATCATACCATGTCATTGTGCCACTGGTCACCGGCCTCGTCGGCCTAGTAGGCTTTCTCGCATTCGAAGGAACGCGCCTGGCTCCCCAGCCAACCATGCCGCTGCATCTCATGTCGAATCGCACTTCGGCCATCGCCTATATTCTCACTTTGCTGCACAGCATAGTCTTCATATGGACGCTCTATTTTCTTCCCGTATACTTTCAAGGCGTCCTTGGCTCCTCACCGACCTACTCCGGAGTACAACTTCTGCCCAGCATACTGGTCATCGTACCATTTGCTGCAATGGGAGGGGTGGCCATGTCCAAATTCGGCCGATACCGACCCATACACTTCGCAGGTTTCGCATTGGTCGTGCTGAGCTTCGGCCTCTTCAGCCTCCTCGACCAACACTCGTCCACAGGGACGTGGGTTGGCTTTCAAGTGATATTCTCTGCTGGAGGCGGCCTCGTCATCTCGACGTTGCTGCCCACAGTGATGGCGCCTCTCTCAGAAAGCGACACGGCACTTGCAACATCCACTTGGGCGTTCGTGCGTAGTTTTGGCATGACATGGGGTACTGCAATCCCTGCCGCAATATTGAACAATCGGTTCGACGAGCTTGCGACCACGGACATCGCAGACCCTGTCATCAGACGGCAACTTATCAATGGTCAGGCGTACAGCCATGCCACAGCTGCCTTTCTCGACACACTATCGGCTCCCACCCGCGAACAATTCATCGAGGTGTTGAATGGAAGCCTCCGCCGCACATGGCAGGTTAGCATTGGCTTCGCGGCGCTGGGATTCTTGCTGCCGTTCTTTGAGAAAGAGATACCTCTTCGTCAGGAGCTTGAAACTGAATTTGGCATGGAGAAAAAGGAGAACAAAGACAGTGCCTCGAAAGAGGACACTAGCAGTGCTTGAAAGCAGTCTGACCTCGAGACGCTGTAGCCCGAGGTTCATGGCGAATTATTGTACAACATGCATGTGGCTTCCCCAGGCTCGCACGATAGGACGGCGACAGAAGCGAGTCCAGATTTCCTCTGAGATGGGGCAGATGGTACATGACCAAGCTGAGGGTATAGCTTGGCTCATCTTGCGAAGCTTTTGGTGAACTCTTCCGGTAGAAATTCTTCAAAGAAATATCCCTGGTATTTCTGACAAGATTTGTCCCAGAATGGTTCAACGTTTGCAACGAATTAGTTTCTATGTAGATAGCATGCTTTGAAGATCTCTGAGGTGCGATCTGAGCGACTTCAGCGTTGAAGTGCCCGAAGTACTGGGCCATCCTGCCGTCTGCGTCACAGCAATGTGTAGAAGTTGAGATATGCCCGGAGTAGTACTCAGCAAGCCCTCCGAATCCGCAGCCCGCTCCGACAAGCCGAACTCTTCAGGGAGACCTATGAGGCGCTCTAGACGGTCGAAATGATGCTCAATGACTTGGACGATGATCTTGGCGTACAGTTGCGCCTTCATGGAGGGCAGTCCGGCAACCTGGAACTCCGGCAAGTCCTGGAGATAAGTATTCATATCGCCCAGCTTCGACATGGCGTCTGTGACGCGCTTAAAGACCGTGTTGTAGAGCTCCAAGAGGAGGAGGTAGCTTGAAAGAAGCATTAGCACGACTGGGATGCTCAGTGAGCTCAGCCTTGTCGATGGTGACTGAGATTGCGAGCATGGAGCAGGAAGGGACGTCTGCCTTTGCCATGAATCCAAATCGGAGATATTGGAGTTCGAGACAGCAGATCCGACGGTAGTAGATGACTTTTTTAGTGATGACAACGGGGCTAGACTTTCGAGAATCGAAACGAATCGAGAGGTGCTCTGCAGCAGCTCTGCCATCGGGTTGCCTTCAACTCGGTGAAGCTTTTCGAGACAATGATGCGCTGCATTCGCAGGCCCCCAGATGTATGCGTCGACGTTGGATACCTGTCTAGCGAAGTCTGCATTTAATCTTGATAGAGCCGTGATTGTGTCTGCGGGCTCGAGCAGGTCCGGTGATGGCCCTGGTATGTAATTTTGAATAGCAGCCGGCAGCTCAAAGGTATGCTGCGAGTGTTGAGGAAGTTGCGTTAACGGCCCAACGTGAGCTTCCATCTGCAGATCAAAAGTATACCCCGACCCTGAATTTGCCTCGAACGTCAAGTCTGGTGTTTGATTTTCGAAAGACGGACTTGTCACGTAGGATGAATCTTGGAGAAAGTCCGCGTACAGATCCTGGCTCTGACTCTGACTCTGCGGCGTCCACAAATTGGGACCCGTTTGCAGACGCTCTGCAGCTGACGTTTGACGTGGAGAAGTAGTAGATTCGGTGTCCAGTGCTTCGGATACCGTGCTTCTTGCCATGATAGATTTGGTCCTTCTGCCAGCTGATCCTGTTATTCGAGGCCGTCCCAGCGGCCGCGCACTGCTAGTAACACACTGAACCCCGACTTTCAGGCATCTGGCGCATGGCTCACTATTGGCTTGATCGCTGCGTGGACAGCGTAGCTTCTGACCCCTGCAGCGATCACAGGCAGACCGTTGGTGGTTCATGCCGGAGAAGTCACTGATGGAGTGTGGGAGAAGATTTGAATTACTTGAACCGGAGAGTTTTCTGATATGGCAGCCTCGCTATGTCAGCCTAATCGATGGTAGTGGTGGTAGCCTCGCCCCTCACGAGGTAATAATGTAGCGCCACCCAATGCTGTAAGTTGGCTTTTACACAGCCTCGGGTCTCCTTTTGCGCTCCCTATACCACAATGCATTCAAAGTATACAACCATGTAGATAGATAGAGAGTGCTGGGGTACTTAATGCATCATATCAATTCGTCAGGCTCTAGGCTCAGAGCCAGGTATCTCTTTTGCCTTGGTAAATAATCGCTGACAAGTCCTCGTTTGCCCTTATCCAGGTCATAACACATTCCAACATCAAATCCAATGTCGCATTCCTCCTATTACTTTTCATGGTGATCTCTGCTGATCAAGAAACTCACAATGTCATGGTCGTATACTTCATAGCCTGACGTCCGCGACTTTTAGGCCCGGTTCACAAACACTGCCGGGAAAACGCCCGCATCCCCTGCATAGACGCCAAACCACCACTCGTCGTTGATTTCCTCCACCTCCCGGATATTAGCATACTTGGGGAACATCAGCTCATCCCTGGCCTTTCCGTCATCTTCGGGAGGGTAATAACCCCATCTGGCAATGCAAGTCTTTCCCCATCCACCATCCGGCGGGAGTTGCATTCCTGGGCGTGGGAGAGTGGAGGTTCGTGCTCGTGTTTTACGTCGTGTGCCATTTTCGTCTTCTCGCCAGCTCCAGTCACCTCGCACAGCGGGGAGATTTGCTCGGTCGACACGGTGCAGATTCTTCATCGCAAGTTTCCATGCCGCCATATCTGCGTCCGACATTTGTGCCCCACCCACGATGTCACGAGTGATGATTCTGCGCTCGTTGCCCTCTTCGTCCCGCTCAAACGTCACGGATATCATTCGATGCCCGTCGGGACAGAGACGCCAGCCATCCGGCCCATCTTCACGCTTCATCCGCCCAGAGTCAACAAAGCCATGGTAGCATGTGCTGCAAATGTCGTAGTCGCCCTTTTGATTGGGGTTTTGGGGAGCGGGAGTCGGATGCGTTGGACAATGGTACCGGGTCTCTGGTGGTGTGATTGGCCGAGAGCAAATGTCGCAGTTGGTTGTTATAGCCAAGGGCAAAAAGTCGGGGCGGAGGCCAGGATAAGGCCCGGTTCCTGAAGTGACGCTTGAAGCTGCGCTTTGAGCAGGGGAGATGTCGCGCCCACCAGAACTGTAAGGGCTCAGCGTGGCAGCACCTGAACCTCCTCCCAATCTCGAGCTTCCCGGGTTCGAGTCGGATGATTTGTAGGCGACTGGCAGTAATGGATGGTCACAGCAATGGTTGCTCCCGACACAGTCATTGCAGAAACCCCATTCGCCTTCATTGCAATAGTCACACGACCAAAAGTAATCATTAGCAAAACTTCCACATCTGTCACAAAAGTTGCCTTCTCTTAGGCGCGGTGATTGGGCCGTGGTTGGTGAGGGTCTCTCATATTGTCGGCTGGTTAGCAGGTGTGGCAGGCCGATGGACTGATTGTTCCGACTTGGTGGATGAGACGCGTTGAATTTGAGCATGGCAGACCGATAAAACCCAAACCAATGATTACATCCTCGCCCACTTCGGTAGCACCTCAGACAGATGTCAGCCTTACAAGTCGCACAGTGCTTGTGGATTTCATGTTGAATGTTCGACCGAGAACAACGCAAGCAAGTAACGGACGGGACATCGGACTTGGCTGTAACGCTCGTAGCGGGTAATTCTGCTGGCGCAGGAACAGAAGCCTCTGATTCCAGTGTAGGAATGGAGGTCGGGACGGGGCCGATGGCCACACTCGACATGACAGGGGGCACAGAATCGGGCCTTGGTGATTGCTGGGCAGGCGAAGCAACTTGTGGCGGGCTAGACATGTGACGTCCACCAGCGGCCTGCCAGACTTCAGAGGCTCTCGGCGATGTTCTGGGCTCCGTGTTAGATCTGTGCGCATGTGATACCTGCTCAAGGTGCTGGAGCCGATCGTGACCTCTTGAGTTTGAGTGAGGTCTGTTCGAAAGATCCGTCGCTGATCTCGCGGCAGGTTGGGGCACCCGGTCGGTTCTCGTTGCGGAATCCGCCCTTCGTCGAGTCTCATCAGAGGCTCTCCGTCGATGAGACGTAGTTGGCGGAGGCGTCAGCAGATGGTCTGTCGATTGAGACGACGCTGTGGCATGCCGGGTGCCGTTGCCACCGATGACCACGTTGTGGCTCGATCTCGGACTTGGCTGCGTTCGTTCGCGATTGTTGCTCCTGGAGGATTGACGGGAATGGCGTACATTTTCTTCGGCCTGTGGATCCGACGACCTCGTTATATCTCTCTGAGTATCAGGCCTACTATCATCTGAGCCTTGTCGGCGATGTCTTTCCGCGTGCAATTGCCTGATACGTTCGGCGATGGCCTCGCTGAGCACATCCTGTTCTTGCTCCGTCAGTTCATCGAGATTGATGCCCTCCAGAAGACCTTCGGACATGATCTCTTGCATGAGTCGTGCCTCGTCCAAACTATCACCTGTGCCGGTGCCACTTTCTGAAGCGCTGACCAGGGATATCAGACTTGCTTGATGGGCGACCGTCGGAGAATCCATTTGACGTGCTTCCACCGCCTCGGGATGCCTGGGTGAACTAGTTGGCGGAGACGGGGTCGAAGGAACTGCTGCATTGGAAGTGCCTGCCGTTCGCGGTCGAGAAGCCTCCGCATCTGAGATGCGCTGTTGTTCACGTCTCTGCCGGCGATCAGCATCTCTTTGCCTGTCCGTCGTGTCTCTTCGTTCCCGACTCCTACTACTTCCGCTGGTGGCTCCTCTGCGGTCAGCGGAGGCGGGATCCAGATGTTGGTCGCGTCTGCTTGTCACGCCGTGTCCGCCATCCGCATTCCTTGATTCTCCCGAGTCCTCCTCTTCCCGCCTTCTTCTCTCCCTCCTCCGATGGTTCTCAACTTTTGGTAGAATTTCGTCGCCCGGTTTATATGCCTGTGACATCTCGGCCTTCTCTTCCGGGGTTCTATCCTTGTCAGGGTTCGCAATCAAGAACATCTCCAGCAGGGTATTGATCTTCGCATAGGGGCGTGCATTTTTGACAGGAGCGCGACATGTTGGGCAGGTGTAGGGGTTTGTGGGGGATGGCGCACGCGAGTTGGTGGCTTTGCGATACTGGTGGGAGAACCATTCTTTCAGACAAGAGCCGCAGAAGGTATGTAGGCAGTCGAGAAGGGTCAGAGGCTGGTAGAGAACCTCGGTGCAGATGAAACAGACGAGCTCCTTCTCCAGGTTGAGAAGGCCGGTGGCCGGGGTTTCGGTAATGGCAGCCATGAGCTATAGAGGCGATGTCATGATATAACGGGCTGTCCTGCTTGGTGGCTATAGTTGCGAAATCAGCCTCGGGAAATCTGCGCCCCCAGCACTGTCATCCTTGATATCTCGCCTGGAAAGAGCTGTGACAGGACGAGTGGAGAGGAAGAGATCATGAGAGAGAGCGAAAAGGCATCGACAAGTTGGCAAAAGGCAAAAGTGAGCCGTGTTGGATGAGTGGTGTGGTGTGTATATCCTTTTGCGGGCGCCCAGTCGCCCAGTCCAGCCTCCGCAAGAGGCGAATTTCGCATTTTGCCTGCCTTAAAGAAGGCGGTTATTTTTACTTTTCGGGTTGTGGGAGTCCGGCCATTTTATTGACTGGAGCAGCTCGGGTCGCTAGCTAAATCTAGTTCCTCGATGCGGCCATCAGCACCGCAGGCACCTAGCAGGCCTTGCATCCCGGGGGTTATTTTCGATAGGGCTACAACGCTACTTCTAGAGACACGGCTTGTCGATACGTCTTTAGCAGCACCAGAGGCAGCAAGCAGAATAAAGAAGTTGTCATGAACTCTTCTGTGGACTATCTCAATGCTAAGTCACTCCGCACAAACTCGGCTCAAATCTGACCACATCTCCCACTTTTTTCCTCTTCTAAGTCTTCAAACTCTTCTGCCTCCAGCATCCTAACTGCTTCCCACTCACATCAGACCCCTACTATTCGGTTCAGTATTGTTCCCTTCGGATGTCTTCACACCAGACGAATTGGCATTGCATGGCGCACCTGAATCAAGCCGCCTCATTTTTGGCAATTTCCTGAGTCTGCTGGCCAACCTCAGTAGGCTCGCTGTCCTCTCGTTCACGGTGCACAGCATAGCTCAGTTTCTTCTCAGTGTCCACTTCACCTCTCTCTTCCCTCTTGATGTTATGGTAGTTGACGTGGGTGTTCCATGGTTTGATATCGCTCAAGAAGATCTCCTCGACCTCTTCGAGAGTCTTTCCAGCAGTTTCAGGGAAGAAGAAGAACACATGGATCGTCATGACCGTGCAGAAGACACCGAAGATGATGTAGACCTTCCATTTAATGTTGACGAAAGCCGGGGGTACAAAATATGACAGCGCAAAGTTGAAAATCCAGTTTGACGCAGTTGTCAAGGCCACGGCCTTTCCTCGAACGCGAAGAGGATACAGCTCTGGAGGATAGATCCAACTGACAGGCCCCCAAGTTGGAGCGAAAGAAGCCACGAATAAATATGTGCAGGCGATAACTCCTTTAGCAGCGCCGCCGTGGATTTGCCAGGACTCCTCAGCGACGTGGTCAACTCCGCCAGGAGGGGCAGGTGCGCCGTAAGAGGCCATCAAGCCAGCATTGGCGTACATCCAAATAGCCATAAAGGTCGAGCCGATGATTAGGGGCCATCGTCGTCCCCATCGATCAATGAAAACAAGGGCGAAAATGGTCA